GGAGTCAGGTGTCTGTGTTAATCTACGGTCCTTAATGCTATTGTTTCAGGGTCAACATATTATTCTGGATATGCTTTAAATAAGCCATAGAATGAAACTTTTAAAAACTAAAAGTCTGGCTCATCAAGTGGCATCTTCTTGCATGGAAGAATGCAAGCTGTCTTCATGCTGCAGATGCCCAGAAATTGTCATTACAAAAAAGGCTCATCTAAGTACTGATTAGACTTATCTAAATAATTAGTTTTTTTAAAAAAATGAAAAAATACCATTGGGAAATTAAGAAAAACATGATTTAAACATAAGGGTTAAATATTAACTTCACATTCCAAATATGGGGGAAATTCAGCTTGTATTGAATCCAGACTTGCAACATTCAAACACACTTTTTTGTTTTTAATCTGTGTGCTGTTGAAAACAAAGTAGATACACAAACCATATTATGGAGATGTGGCTGTGGATGATCTAGTCCTTGCATTACAAGAGCAGAGTAAATATAACATACACACCAATACAATTTAGGTCACTGCTAAATGTCTTGCATATAACAATTATTCAAGGAAGGTTTACCAAAATAGCCTTGACTGTGAAAGTCGCAGCTACCTGATCAATGTGAAAAGACGAACATTTTACAAAATTCACTCTGGTCAACTTTTACATTCCCCATAGATCAAATCTGCATTTTTCCATTTGTTGTACCTGCAGTTTACTGTATTACCTGTGTAGCTGCACCTGAATACTGCTTGTTGGTCATTAGTATGAACAATTATTGACTATTGCAGAGAAAAAGTTTTGGTTTTTAACAGAACAATCTTTTTCGTTGTAATTGTTCATATACTGTAGGTAGGTTTCACTCTATGGGGGTTTGGCTGAAATTTAGCTAACTGAAGTCGATGGATGTTTGTGGCATAAAGTTTAGCAATTTGTATTTTAGAAAATAATCTCAAGATAAAACTTTTCATTTGCAGCTTGTGTTTTCTTGGATTTGTTTACGTCCCAAACACTTTCCTCCTATTTATTCCTTCTGTATACATGCAAATTAAACTGCTTATACGCGACTTTGAGCTGCTTTTAGTATGAATGGTGCTTTATAAATACAACTGATTGAAGAAGTCATTTTTTTTCTGTAAATGAAGCTTTTAATTATTGCTTGCAAGTCACTGAAATATGTTTCAGTGACTGTGCTGCTTCTTCTTCTTCTTCTTCTTCAATTGTGTCTTTTAACAGGTTAAACGCACAAAAGCTAAGCTCAAGATGGCTCTCAACGTCCCCGGTCTAGTGGTGATGGCGGTGTTCTACGTCGTGATTTTGGGCACAGGCATCTGGGCGTCCATGCGCTCCAAGAGGGTAGAGAAAAGAAGCACAGGAGACGGCATGGAGATGACGCTTCTGGCTGGACGCAAAATTAATTTGCTTGTTGGGATTTTCACTCTCACTGGTAAAGACAAACACACCGTCTTCACTCGGGAACACCCACGACTTGATGACACAAGTGTTGTTGAAAAGCTTGTTGTCAAGCGCACGTCACTGAGATATTTTATCCGTTTCTCTCTCCAGCTACATGGGTGGGAGGAGGTTTCATTCTGGGTATCGCTGAGGCAACATACAACCCAACACTCGGTGCGGTTTGGGCGCTCATGCCCGTTCCTTATGTCTTGACCTTCTTCTTAGGTGAGTGAAGTTTGCAGACGGCTCATAATGTTGCAACACCATGGTGGGAGAAGCAGTAAGAAATGATAAACCCTTGGTGCTTGCTATTTGCTTAGCAACAACACTGTGACAAGCACACATTTTATGGTTACTATTCTTATCATGGGAACAAAATCAACACGGCTCCTTGCTTCATTACCTTCTTTGTAAAATGAACTTCATTGACATGACAAGTGCGGCTCTCCCTCACCCAACGCAAATCTGACTCTGCATCATTAAATGCGCCACTCGTGGTAAAAATAGATCTATGAGCAATCAAAAAAAAAAAAAAGAAAAAAAAAAACAGGTGCAATGAAATGAGTTCAGCCAAGAGGTTTGAAAGATTACCTCTGAATGAGCCAAGTCAACAAACTAATCGGTTTGTTAAATGTTGACAGCCGCTGAAATAACCGATACTGTCCTGCTGTCAGAGTAGCCTGTGGGATGTTAGTGGAGGATGAATTGGAAACCCCAGTCTCTGAGCAGGAAGTATAACATTCCCTGTTCTGCGGCGGTCTATTGTTGACCAGAAGGACGCCTGATCTCAGCTCAAGGTGTCTCAGTGTGTTATCAGGAGGGAACACTTGTTTGTGCAATTGTTCACCCCCCCCCCACACACACACACACACGTCCTTTCACTCTTTTGCTCACCACTCCGGGTTTTTACATGGCAGAAACATGACCTTGTCCCAACATTAATTACTCGAACGCTTCCCACAAACAGAATAACAACTTGCGCTGCTGCTTTTCCCTCTGCAGGTGGCTTTTTCTTTGCCAGGCCTATGAGAGAGAACAAGTACATGACAATGATGGATCCTTTCCAACAGAAATATGGGAACGTCCTGAGCAGTGCACTGATCTTTCCTGCGCTGGTGGCCGATGTGCTGTGGGTGGCACGCACGCTTGTCAGCCTGGGTATGTTACCTCATGCTGTTAAAAATGTTGGACACTGTTATGGGTGCTGTAACATACCTGTAGGATCACGTGGGCACCAAAACGTCAGGGTACATGATGTCCATAAACAGGAGAGTAGAAAAACAGCTGGGCGGTGCCATGTCAGTTCAGACAGTTTTCTGACAAACAGAGCAATAAAAAGAAGCCAATAAATACATTTTAAGCTTGTATCCAAAACAGCACATTTTGGGAGTCAGTTTTTTATAAGGTAATGAAAGTAATTTTTATATGTTGGGTTTTGATTTAGTATTATGCTTTCTCTCAACATTGTTTTTACAATGTATAAGGGCTTTCATTATCCTCAAACTCTGTCTCCCTACAAGACACTATGCTTTGAGATACGAGTAAGAAAAAGTGTTTTGTTTCTGTACATTTCACACAGTTGGTGAAGTAATAATTTATTCCTAAAATGTCAGTTTAGATGTTTGAGAAGTAAATTTTGCATCTTGAAAAGATTGCATGTATTACATACAGTTGAAACCAGATATTTATGCACACATATAAAATTAAAAAAAAAAAAACGGGGAATGTTTTTTTTTTCCCCCTCTTTATCTGACATTGTGTCAAACATTTACTTTTTTTTTTAGGAACATTTACTTTTTCAGAACTGGTTTAATGCAGTCTGGTTTATAGGCTGCCTTTAAAGCTCTTCTCAGGAAGAGTCTTCTGGATTGAGGTGAGTCCAAAAGTGATACCCAAAGCTAAAAACATCGACTCTGCTGTCCTTAAGTTACCAACCTGAAGGTATTGACTGTTTGGAGACTCATTTGTGGCCAACATAAAAACACTGACTGATGCTTTGAGAGGCTGTGATCCTCATCACAGCCAAATACGTTTTCTACATGTCTCTACAAAATAACTGTCTTTGTGCCTGACTGCTTTTGCCAATTTTAATCACTTATATGTTGCCTTTTGACTAATGACTTCTTCCTCTATGAGTGACTGTTCCACTTATGTTGGTAACCATCTCATTTCACTCTTAATAAAAAAATAAGTAATAAAAATTCTCTCTTCTGTTTTTCTATATTTAGCAAATAGAAATAATTTTGTTGATTTTGTCTGACCTTAAAAATAAAAGGGTTAGTGAGATTTAGTATCAGATAGTGACAAACAGGTTTTTCCTGAAAATATATAACAGTTCTGACGCTTTCATATATATTTTTTAAATTTTGTAAACACAAATAAGCCCCAGAGTAGATTGGAGTGTTTGGAATAATTCACTTCTAAGCTTAAACTGAATGTTTTCTTTGTTGAATGTTTTTAATGTCTGGGAAAATCCGAATAAATGAACATGATCAATTACTGCAGAGTAAGAGTGGCTTACAATGTTACTGCTGTACCATATTGTGCTGCATGTTTGCCTTGACTGGATGAATGAATACAAACACACAGAGTGCTTACATATTTATTCTTACGAGTTAACTTTTTAGTGAAAAATGTTTTAAATCGTCTGATATGTTATCTCCACATACTTCCGATGTTTATCTTCTAATGTTTAGGATTCACATAATTCTCTGTGATGTTGTATGTGACTGTGTGTGTTAATGTGTCTACTATGCATCTAACGAGTTTATGCGCTCTGTGAAAAATGTGAAAACTGAACATGTTTGAGTGAATGCATCCATCCATCCATCCATTGTCTATACCCGCTGACCCTTGCAGGGTCACTGGGGGGGGGGACTGGTGTCCCAGCAGTCATTGGGTGAGTGGGAGGGTACGGCCTGGACATGTAAGACTCACAAAGAGAGCTTTAATCAGAGAAGCTGCCAAGAGGTTCATAGTAAAACTCAGGGGTATATGAGGTTTAAATAAAGAGAGTGCAATGCATATTAATATGCATGCATGACACCAAACATGATTATTTTTAATTCTAACAATGTTTGTAAGCATATTCGTAAAGCGCAAGCTATAACCAGTGCTTGAGCCCCTTTATGTTTCCATTCACAAAACTACTGACAGGTAAGCAGTTAATTTTGTCCACAGAGATATATAATATCTGATAGGTTTTAATCATACCTCGTGTTGTTTTTGTAAATGTTACGCATAGATTCCTGACCTACAACTAGCATATGCACATAGTCACAGAAACACTTGTCATTTTAAAGTGTGCAGAGCAAAATGACCCGCCGGAGCATTGCAGGATAATATTAAATGAACTTCTGGTTTGCTGGTGAGAATGTGCATGTGTGTGTGTGTGATGGCTCGGTTGCTCAATGTTTTAAACACACTTTTGTGGCCCGTGATATGTCGGCACGGTATTAGCACTCAGAGTCATATTTCTGCTGGAGAAAAGAACTAAAGCAGAGTGTGTGTTGTGTGCATCTCCCACATGTGAGAGGTTTATAAGTGGGACAAGGAACTGAACAACATCAGGGGGTCCATCTCCGATGCAGTACTTTAAGTCTTTGAATGTTCCACCTTTCCTCCTCCTACATTTAGCTGACAGGGGTGTCAACTCCAGTCCTCAAGGGCCGCTGTCCTGCAGTGTTTAGATGTGCCACAGGTAAAAAACAGTGGAATGAAATGGCTTAATTACCTCCTCCTTGTGTAGATCGGTTCTCCTGAGCCTTGCTAATGACCTAATTATTCTTTTCAGGTGTGGTGCAGCAGAGGCACATCTAAAAGTTGCAGGACAGCGGCCCTTGAGGACTGGAGTTTGACACCCCTGATTTAGCACATAGGAGTAACATCACAGGTTTGAAGTGTAGTTGTATATCTGGTAAACAGACCTCCCAGAAACTATTTGCGATGCAGTGACTGTGTTACATCATGTCCCATCACATTAGAAAAACTCTAAAACCTGGGTTGATCTGGATGCTTATGCAGATGTAGCCCGGGAAAAATACTTAGCCTCACAGGACACGATAACTGGGGTTCTTAATGTGCAGTGTATTTTATTTTTAGTTGAGACAGATTAAACAAAGCTGTCTTGTTTCTTACTTTTGTTCAACAATCAGTAGTTACCTACTGTTTGGTAGCAAACAGTAGGTAACTACTGATGAAATGCGGCAGATCTCCAAAATAACAGAGAAAAAGCACAAAAAGAAAATTCAATAAAAGAAAAGAAATCGAAATATGGCAGTGGCCTCTGACTGCACAAATACAATACTGAGAGCTGCATTACACCTCACTGATTTAGAACGAATGGAGTTGTGATACGACTTATTTTATCATCACTTACATTTAACGTCTCAGTTCACTCTTAATGCTGGAGCACACCGATGATCGGACATCTTATTGTCACACGCACAAAATGGCCGCCCTGCACCGCACATACAGGCTCCCTAAACCATCCGTTTCATCTTACTAAAATACTGACTGCTTATTACATAAATGAACGTACCAACACATTTCAACAAGTGACGTATATATTTACCGATTTTCTGCCAAAACTGTCTCCCGCAGATATAACACGTACAGTTCACATCCAAGTTCAGCACGTAGCATAGCAACACAAGAAGAAAACAAGGTGTATTTCCTGCCCCGTGTTGAGAAACAGTAATCATTTTTGAAACACTGCTCTCTGGTGGTCAAAATGTGCAGCAGCCGAGACCAACTACCTGAACATATTTAAATGTGAAAAAACTACGGAGCCCCTAAGGGGACATGGAAAAAAAAAAAAAAGGAAAGAAATCCCGACTTATTATCGCGAGATCCCGAGAAACTAAGTCGAGATCTCGAGATCCCGACTTATTATCTCGAGATCCCGACTTATTATCTCGAGATCCCGACTTATTTTCTCGGGATCTCGCGATAATAAGTCGGGATCTCGAGATAATAAGTCGGGATCTCGCGATAATAAGTCGGGATCTCGCGATAATAAGTCGGGATCTCGCGATAATAAGTCGGGATCTCGAGATCTCGACTTAGTTTCTCGGGATCTCGCGATAATAAGTCGGGATTTCTTTCCTTTTTTTTTTTTCTCCATGTCCCCTTAGGGGCTCCGTAAAAAACAAACAAAAAGGAAATAAAATTACATAACTGAACCAAAATCACTCAATAGCATTGCTACCGTAAGATAAGAGAAAACCAAAGCTTTGAAACCATACAATTATTCAACCAAAATTTACTAACCAGCTACGCAGACATAACTAGGTCAAGTCTAGAATTAGTTCATATATTTCAGGTTGCACAGATGCAATTTATTTTAACACTTCAAGTCAACTCATATTGGTGGAAACATTCCAGTTAAGCCAACCTATTGGATGCAGCCCTGGTGCATCCAACAGGTGAAAAAAAAAAAAAAAAAAAAGCTCTGCTGGGCACTAAAATATAAATTATAATATCCAGCTGGAATTAGATTAATTTACAAACAGGTGCGCTTTATTTACTCCAGAGTAAAAGTGGCCAAATGCAAAGACAGGCCACACTTTTAAGATTTTTTTTTAACGCTTTGAAAAGCATGTATCCTCAAGAGGTGACAAAGTTCAAACGGTAAGAAAATCTTTGTTTGTAGCACTGTCTCGCTATGGCACTTCTGGACAGCTTTGATTGCAGTGAGGATGTAGAGCCTGAACCAAAGCAGTATGATGATTCAAAGCCGAGCCAACGGGGAATCAACGGGAGAGAGAAAGAGTGGTGGGGGGTAAACAGCAGGCGAGGGGCAGAGGTGAGACCTCTGCAGGGTGGTGAGTGGCGATAGATGGTGCAGATTTTATACTTCTCTGTTTAAGGGTTTTGTTGTGGTGTGGCTGCAGGCTGCTGCACGGGGATCCATGGCAATTTGGGAGAAGAGACGGTGAAGGTAGTGATGCTTTGCTTGCCTTGAGTAACAAGATGTATTTTATTTATGCATTTGTTGTTTGTTTGTTTTTTTTTTTGTTTTTTTTAACCTTTCACAATTGTTTTTAGATACTTAAGTTCAGCGTTTTTCTTTAGATTACCAGTATTGAAATGTTTTTTGCACCCAAGCGGGTGAAAAAGTGTTACAACCAGTAAGTTCTCTTTTTTTTTTTTTTTTTTTTTTTTTTTTTTTAATGATTCTTTCGTAAAATTTCTGTTGACCTCTTTCTTTACTTTGGATTCTCAAAGCATTTAGAAGTTTAACCACTACGTCTTAAATGAAATCTATAGTCTTGCCTTAAATGGCAGAAATATAATGTATGATGATTTTCTTGTTAAAATGTGAACGTTAGGACAATATTAGTGTAAAAACAGAAGTCAATATATCTCCATCTGTGTGTCTGTGTGAGTTACTGTGATTCTAAAAAAAAAATAAATAAAAAGCAATTTATTTGAAGAGTCATAGTAAAGATTGCATGTATCCACAGAAACAAACATGCCATCTCTGTCGGTCCCTCAGCACTCATCACTCCTCTGTGTTGTTCTAGGTGGAACCATGAGAGTGATCCTGGACCTGCCGTACGTCTACTCCATCATCATCTCCTCAGTGGTGGCCATCATCTACACTCTGCTGGGGGGGCTCTACTCTGTGGCCTACACCGATGTCATCCAGCTGATCCTCATCTTTGTCAGCCTGGTGTGTAAACACTTACCTGAAGGTTTAAACCAGCAGCCTGGGTCTGCACAGCTTCACGTCTTTTTCTAATAGATGATAAAACCCGGTCAACGATGAGTCCTATCGGATCACTGAGCTGCAGCCGTGTGGGAAGACATATTGAGTTCTGATGGTTTGGCTTTTCTGTTAATTTTTCCACTTCATAAACTTACATGTTAAACTCTTTATAGATAAATTGGATGAAAATAGTTACAGAAATAGTGGTATTACAAAAAGTACAGAATCTGTTGAAATCAAACCTGACAATACGTAACATAGCTTCTTTTTTTTGTTGTTTTTCTTTAGATTTAAAATGTTAGGGACTTAACCTTAACCTTATTGTTGATATTATTTGTGTGTTTGTCTTACAGTGGGTGTGCGTTCCCTTCATGTTGACCAACCCACACTCCCTGGACATTTCGCTCACGGCGTACAACCAGACTTTTCAGGCCCCATGGGTGGGCACAGTGGAGCTCAACGAAGCCGGCAAGTGGTTTGACGACTTCATGCTGCTGGTGAGTGGCGACTGGGAGACGGTTTTTTCAGGTGGACAGGTGTTATTTCCTGCCACTTCAACAGCTACATGAAGTATTGTGAAGTTGTTGAGTTAAAAATATTTTCGTTAGGTGAGAAAAAACCCTAGCATAACAACACTTGGGGGGGGGGGCATTTCTGTCGCTATCCTGTATTTCCGCACAAGCTAATTCCTGTCACCATGTGTATACTGTGTGTTTGTGCCAGGCGCTGGGCGGCTTGGCCTACCAGGCGTTTTACCAAAGAATCCTGTCCTCCTCGTCTTACAGCCAGGCTCAATTGACCTGCTTCACTTCAGCAGGTTTCTGCCTGGTCCTGGGTATCCCATCTGTCCTGATCGGAGCTGTGGCAGCGTCTACAGGTACAAATCCCTAACTTTCACCTGTGGAAACATGTGATATAAGACATTGTATTTGTCTGCTAAGCTGTTAAGATCTGTACAATACCTTCCTGGCTTTTAGTGCCCCTAAAAAGTTCTGTCTAATAATACCCAGACTGGAACTCAACCACATATGGATTACCCACCCCGTATGAGCGGGACGAAGAAGGATCCATTCTTCCTATTGCACTGCTTTTCCTCACACCCACCTACGTGTCTGTCATTGGGATTGGAGCTGTTGCTGCAGCTGTCATGTCCTCCATGGACTCAGCCCTGCTGTCCTCTGCCTCTTTGTTCTCTTCAAACATCTACAAGAACATCATCAGAAAACAGGTGAGGACGTCCAAGCGCTGGAGGTTCCGTGTCAACTAGATTTTAGGAGATATGTATGTAGATTTTCTTTCCCACCATTTTCTAACGTCTCAAACACAAAGTAGGACTTATCTTTAGGGTGGAGGAAAATTACACGAGGTTTTAAGAAATGTTTCCAAGTGAAAAACATGAAAGGTTTGCAATATATTTGTTTTCAGTCTTCTTTACAACGATATTGTATTAGTTGAAGAATATCTATTAGTTGTGCAAAATAAAATGCTGCGTACATTATAGAACCTCCCAAAAACCAATGACTTACATGAAAAAAGAACATACTCTTTATTAAAATTGCTACCCACTAGGCTAGCAGTTTGTGCTGCTAAATATTGCAGCACACAAAAAGACCCTGCATTCATTCACATTATGAAAAATTCACAGTTTTATTTTGTTACTCAGTTACAGTTTATGCAGAGAACTATAGACCTGTTGGATTCAAAGAAACATTGAGGTATAAAACTACTTCAGCACTCGAGGAAAGCTGCGTGCAGTACTACATTTTAATGTTGGTTTCCCTGACGTCATATCCTGTAACACAATTCCCTGCCCATGTTATTTCTTCCCCAGGCCTCAGACTATGAGATGCAGTGGGTGATCCGGATCTCAGTGGTAGTCGTGGGTCTCGCTGGCACTGGTCTCACCTTCCTGGACAGCAGCGTCCTCGTCTTCTGGCTCGTAGGGGTGGACATGTCCTACACCATCATGTTTCCTCAGCTGGTCTGCGTCCTCTTCTTTAAGGTGTCTAACGGTTACGGAGTCTGTGTTGGCTACATCCTGGGCTTTGTCATGAGGGTCCTGAGCGGTGAGCCGCTCATAGGCCTCCCGCCCGCCATCAGGTTCCCTGGCTGCCGGTTGGACAAGGAGGGGAAGCTAACCCAGTTCTTCCCCTTCCGCACAACTATCATGCTCTTGTCGCTGGTGTCCATTGTGTTCTTTTCATGGTTGGCATCCGTAATTTTCAGCAAAGGCCTGCTGTCTGATAAGTGGGATGTGTTCGACATTAAACGCAGGGCAGCACAGACGGCGAGGGCTTCAGATGTGAAAATGTCAGACACCGACGAGGGTGGCTCTGCAGCCAAGCAGCATCTGAACACAACCAGATGCTAAAGAGGCTGAAGTCTGGCCTTTTTGACTGGGAGATGGGATGTTAAAAAGGGGAACAATAAAAACAGATTCTATTATATGCACAATTTCTGTAAGTTTATATGTCATGATGGTTTATGATGAACACGTATGTCATGCATAACTAAAATGGAGGCACCCCAGCTGTTAACATAAGTTTTAACCAGAAAACTATTTGAATTATGGTTAAATGTTAATAAAGAAAAAGGTCATAGCTTTGTACCTCCTTAACGAAAGGAGTTTCACATGTGCACTAACATATTTTTCATATAAAATATATATTTTTTTGCATCAGACAGATCTGCTGGTCAAGCACAATGATACCATTGCCAATAAACTATCAGTACTTCTGGCAGTGTGAGAAGGTGCCAAGTCCTGCTGGAAAAATAAATCAGCCTTTCCACAAATGTTAACAATACAGCAGCGTACAGTCCTCTAGGATTCCCTGGTACATGTCACCGTTAGACCAGTACGACGTTTCTAATCATTCTGGTTCTGGATTGGGTTAAAAACAAAGAATGTGATGGTTGTAGCTTCCGCCCTGACATGTTTGTGTGTGGTAACTCTGGAAACAGTAGCTGTGTTTCCTTTACAAATGTGCGCAAAGCTTTGTCAGTAATGTAGAAAAAACACAATTTCTCAATTGCGACATTTGAATTGCATGAGAAACGCAAATAAAATCACATGTGAATAAGTTTGTTCACACGATAAGTCATTAAAAAACATGTCGTGCCCTCATCCTCCTGTTGTCTTCTTCTTCATGGTACAGCCAAAAAAAAAAAAAATCTCATCCTAGCAGCAAAACATTTTAGTGAAGAGAAAGTTTTTTTTTTTTTTTTTTTTCAAAATTGGCATATTTCCATTAAGCATATTTATTTTCAAAATGTCAAATTATGCAATTATATGGTCAATGTAAACACAGCTACTGATTTCAGCCACAGTAAACACATTGTGAATCTGATCCAAAGTGGAGAGAGAGAGGTCTTTGCTTCACAATTCTCTCAAGGTTTGCACTTAATATACCTAACACATTTTTTCCTTCCACTGTATTTTCTGTTACTATGCTTATGTGCAACATTCTGAACAGTCTGATTCGGGAAAGTGTAAGTGACTATCTTCTGTCAAGTCAGCAGTTTTTCTTGTAATTCTTTAGACCATAACATACAATTTTTGTATATGTTTTTCATTATTGGTGTTATGTAATGGTAACATTTTCTGAAGATCTGGGGACTGGATTCAAAGTGTCTGAAAACCATAACCATCAAAATTAACATAAATAAATCCTTGTAAATATTCTTTACAACATGAGTTTCAGTCAGTGAAATGAATTGCTGAAAAAAACCCTTTTTAGTAATGTTGAGATGTATCTGTATAATGTAGCAAGGATGTAATCTGTTAGTCACTTTTGCAAGCAGCTACTATCCTGAGAAATTAAATGACACAGCAGTACATGGTTTTTGATGACTGTACTGTAAACACTTTTGAATATTGCTTGTATTTTTTATTTTTTTCACAAACATGTCATCATATAAAGATCTGGAGGTTTGTTGCTTATTTGTGAAAGCCAGACATGTTTTGTTAAGAATCATTGGAATCTGGTTCCATTCAATCGAGAACTGCCTATCGTTGGACTTCATGACATCGGTTTAACTCTTAAGTCACTTTTCTGATACTTCATAAAGGGATTTATATTTTTGGAATGGGGAACTTTAACTTGCTTTTAGCCAAACAATACTGGGTGGGGGAAAAAACCTGGGTGTGCATGATGGACATGCAGGAGTGCATTTATGTTTCACAGCTACAGTTCAGAAATCTACCTGTTGTTATACTCTTGTGCTGTATACTCACACTTTAAAGTTCAGTAGAATATAGTATTTAGAAGTTTTTATCTTAACTTTTAAAGTATAAATACTTCTGCCTTAAGTTTTGCAGAACATTAAAATTAAGAGCATCACTTTCAGGATGACTGTCATAATAGTGGGTGTGCGGTTGTTGTCGTCTCTGTATTTCAAGAGCATTATCACATATTGTTAACACATATTGTTTTTCTTACCCTGTTATGCAGGTTGCCAATAACTGTTTTTTTCTCTATGCTGTAAACTTGCAAAGGCTTGGTGAATCTGTAATCCAATGTTAATCACAATATAGTTCTGCCAGAATAAAGGCTGAAACTGAATTATTTGTTGTTTAATTTATGACTTCCAAGAAAGACAAACACACATTGCTAGAAGAAATTTTCCCATGAAGTACACACTTTTATCTCACTATAAGGTCTGTGATTACAAGAAAAAAAAAATTATATGTAAAAGCAAACATGCATCAGATTTAGAAACAGATCTATCTTATGACAGATTTAATCTCACACTGTTCCAATCATTAGCTTGCACAAATTGATTGCGTGTATTGTGTCTGTCATATAGTACCAAATGTGCAGGACGGAGGAAGCCCATCAGGCTTTTATTTCTGTCTCACCCCATTTATAGCAGGTGGAAGGAATCAACAGCTTCTCTTACTAGAAGGAAAACGCTAAGGTTTCAAAGGGAAGGATTTTCTCACTTCTAACGTAAAGCTGAACCCGAGAGTGCAGCGAGTTCCCAGACTGCAAATACTTTCTAAAACTTTCTAAATTGGTATCATCTTTGCATTTCCATCTAAGATTTTTCCAAGATTTTGTTCCCAAGTAATAAATCAGATGAAAGCTAAATAACACTTCCGGTTAATGAAGGAACCCTCATGACTTAAAATAAAACTACCTTTGTAAAACCAGCTCCTTAACTCTGCAGAGACAGGTAAAGTATGTATTATGGTTGCTGAGAAGAATGGAACAGCTCCACTGTTGTGCAACACTGCTCACATAGAGCTTAATCTCCACCTCTGTCATCTTTGTCAGCCCATAGATGGAGACATGTAGACATGAAGACAGAAGAGACTTTGCTTTGTCTGGTACTTTTCCACTCATGCAGCTGCACATGGAGTCTACGTGGCGAAAAAGATCGTATATCATCTCATTGTATCTTGTCAGATAGTCAGAAGAAGAAAGCAAAACACAAAGTAATCTTTGAGTCACACTGAAGTTATACCTCCTACCACTGCAAGCAATATTACTTAGTGGCAGCTCCTATCTGGTAATGATGCATGGAGGAAATACTAGAAGCTTTAGCAAGCAAACAGGTAACAAATGTACACCATTGAGAACTAATGTCATATTACAAATCAGGAGACATTTGTGAAGTCAAGGGCAATGCGTGGTTTAAAATTTTTACAAATAAAAATCTAAAAGGTGTGGCAAGCATTTGTGTTTACTGAGTAAATACTTTTCAGAACCACTTTTAGCTGCAGTTTAATTCCCAAGACTCTTGTGATGTGTCTCTACCAGCTTCATATATAGAGATTGACTTTTTCCCCTTTGTCTTTTGCAACATGCAAAGGCTCAATTTCATTTAGACTTGAAGGTGTTGGATCTGTCTGAACTATGGTAACATGAAAATGCTTTCATCTGAAGCGCTCCTTTACAGCCTTCACTATATGACTAGGGTTGTTCTCCCATGACAAGCTAAACCTTAGTCTTTATCAACTTCTCAACAAATTTCATCACAGCGCCTTGGCACATCCTAAGAGATGTAAAGAGATCTGATGAGCTGAATTTCCGTGGCCGGTTAGCTCAGTTGGTTAGAGCGTGGTGCTAATAACGCCAAGGTCGCGGGTTCGATCCCCGTACGGGCCAGTCTTTTCCTTTTCTGTTTTTCTTCCCTTCTTTCATTTTAGCCATTAACCTAATCATTTAATTATAAGCTAGTCGGCAGAAGACAACACTATATCGTATTGAAGAACAATATTTCGCTAGGATTATGAAACGATTACTCAAGGACTATGCAGATCGTAACTAAAAAAACGTGGTGACAGATTATCTGATTGCTAGACATTGATCAGAAAGTAAAAGATAAAACATATCTAGCAAAAACAGTATAACCATTTCTAATGTTATTGGGTCAAATACCTATGGGTGATACCAGCTTCTGACACGGGTTCCATGGTGTAATGGTTAGCACTCTGGACTCTGAATCCAGCGATCCGAGTTCAAATCTCGGTGGAACCTGTCTTTTTCTTACTTCCTTGTTTCGTTTATCTATACATTCGTGAAATAATGCTGGTACTCTGTCCTGTGTCCATTCGTCAACATGTTTTGTTTTTTGTTTTAACCCGTACGATGAATAATAAAAATTATAAATGTCTGATGTATATGACTGATTAATAAACCCCTGGACGTGGCCCAAATGATGTAAAAACATATTTATTTGCGCAGTGTTAAATTTTCATTGCATTCCAATGTCATTTTACTTAGTTTTTTATTTTACGATGCAGTCAGATCAACTACTAGGCGAATCATTTTTTCTTCTGTTTCCTGGATGTTCCTGCCCCCTTCTGGCCAGAACTGGATGCCGTATTTCTAAAAAAAAAAAAAAAAGAAAAAAAAAGAAAGAAAGTGAAACCAGCATTGGAAACAATTATTTACTTTCTCAACTCTAACAAATGCACTTACTTAGGTTTTTTTGTTGTCTCAGGATAAAGGATGACCACTTCCTCCTCCTCTTCATCACTATCTAATATCTCCACAACATCCACTAAAAGAAAGAAAAAAAAATCAATTACAAGATCTGAAACATTTACTTGTGACAAAAGAAGTATTTTATAAACAACTTTTTATGACTTTCACACAATAGTAAGCAAACCTGTTCTGCTCTTGACTTCTTGATGCTGTTCCACATCCATCTTTGTCAATTCCTCCACACTGTCCCCTCCACTGCTCTCCCCACCATCCTCCTCCTCCTCTTCTTCTTCCAGGCCCCAGGTGTTGCGCAGTACCTCCCCTACCTGTCCGACCCCTGGGACTGGCACCGACGGGGATGGCACCCTGATGAATGGGGTTAAAGAAGCTAACTAAAAAAATACATACGACTCTCATTCTCCCTTTGTACTTATTTAAGATCAGCTCAGGATACGTTTGAGGTGGGGCTTCTGCTGTCTGGACAATGCTACTGGCTGTTTCACCGACATCGGTCATCTCCACGGCTGTCTGGTCCGTTTTCAGAGCCGTGATTCGCTCCTGAGGGATGGACTCCGCAAAACCGCACCGCCCACCTGCTTTCCTGGGGAATTACAAAAAAGACAAAGACACTGACACAATAGCCTCCAAGGACTTTTCAGAGCTGGGACCAAGTCACCGTTTTGCAAATCACATGCAAGTTTCAGGTCTTTCTACTACCTCTGTCTCAAGTCAAATCCAAAGTCAAGATACACAAGCTGTGAGTCGAGTCCACGTCGTATAAAACACTTCATTTGACAAAATATGCAAAGTAATCACAAAGTAATAAATCAACAATTGAAAGAATTTCTAAATTACTTGTATTTTTCTTTGTTGTGTTACATCTGTGAATTACGATGCTAGCTTAAAGAAATATTGAAGTAACATTCAGAGCAACCCCTCAATACATATGGATTTAATTTATTGTTTGCATGTGTTTAACATTTGTTCCTGTTGAAACCAAAGGAAAATCTAGTAATTTGTTCCAACACCTAACTGGAGTCCACGGCTCTCAGACTAAATATATCCCAACCCCAACAGCTCACCTGGCAGTTTTGTCGTTTAGCAGAGCTTTGTTGATGAGCTCCGTGATCTCAGACACCTTGACGCTGGCTATTTTACTGCATCTCATCACCTTCAGCAAGAGGAAAAAAAAAA